AATTCAATGAAAAAATTGACGAAATAGGACAGGCAATAAAATCGTTCGGCCATTGTACTCATTAAATTTGGTTCGACCATTGTATTCGATTTTTATATGGACGCACAACTTCATGATGCAACTTTACAAAGGATGAAAATTGTTCTTGACGGGCAAACTTGCAATTGTGCACAAGATGTCACTGCTTTTTTTGCTCAAAATGCGTTTCTTTTACTAAACACAACGCATTTGAGTACCTGTTCGGCTATTGTACTCATTACCCTAAACAACTTTTTCGACTTTCAGGCCTACACAGAGAGTTACAAAGTAATCAATAACAGAACAGTACGTGTTTTTTATACAGAATTTCCGTGCGGCCTAGTTTTACATGTAAATTTAACGTTAACTGAATGCTTTCCTCAATTTCACTGCTTTTACCGAGTGTTTAAGCCGCCATTTTATGAGCCCATTGTACGATTATGGTCACGTGATCATCCGCAGTGACTTACGTCCAGATGTTAACTTTGCTCAAATATTAAAAGGTACATGGTAGTGCGGACTTTACTTATATACGTATGACATCGATTTAAACTGGTCTACTTGTTAATCTCTTTGCAGTGTAATACTTGTAATGAAAGTGAAAAGAAACTCTAAATAAGTGTTTTATCTTATGGAGTCACGGAAAAAATATTAATTTTACTTCATTGCTATCACATTTGAAGAAGGTTTTCACATTAAATTCATACATAAGGTTTAATATTATATCTATGATGAAACACAATGATGAAGAAAATAAGGTTATAGAAGGGAAAAAAATGATGAAGCTATTCTTTATTCTACGGTTTATGACCGTATTTACCTAGTCAACGTAATTTAAAACGTACTTCTTCGTTCGAAACATAAAGTTTGATTCCATTAGAATTCAGGGTATTTAAAACGCTTTTCATAAAACACACTGTGTCTTGTCACGTTTATTTACTGTATTATACTATTCATAAAAAAGATCATGTGAATGTGTACATTTGTACGTGAATAGATGTAAATGTTAATAGTATACGGAAATGACAACACATTCTGTTTATATTATATTGACCTCCTGCAAGTAATTATCTGATGACAATTTTCTGTCTGTCAAACTTCATGTATTCAAATACATTCATATTTCATAAAAAGGTTAGATAATTATCTTTGAAAAAGTGTTCAAATCGAAAATTGTTACTGCAACGCGATACACTTAATGTGATATAATATTAAACAACTTCTGCCACTTGGTTACAGTAATAGTGTTTAATAATGTTTTGTTTCACGTTAACACCGGAATTATGACAACGGAAGTGTCTAATGTTGTCAATTTGTCAATATATTACAGTGCATCATTTTAAGACATTAAGCAATTATATTCAGCACTACAAAATTCAGAGTTTAAACTAAATAATTTATAACAATCACAAAATATCACAGACTTGTGTCTCAAATTAAACTGCGTATAGCCGAGTATTCGAGTAGTTTTGCTATTTATATGTTACAGCACGTTTTTTTCCTATATTGATAATATAAAGGCTTCAAATAATGGCACGTTTTTTTTTTTATTTGAAATCGATAATTGCATTAATTATTAACATCATGATCATATTTCGGACAATTTTGATTTCGGATATAAGTTTTGTTAATTTATGTTATGTTTTTTTGTTTCGCGGAAATCATGAATGCACGCGGAAATCATGAATTCGAGAGGTAGCTGAAATTAAACGTCACGAATAATGGTGTATATCAAAGCGCAATCAAAGGGAATACCTAAACCATGACCATGTTATATGTCCACATTTTTGTAGTTCTTTAAATATGCCAATGTATTAATTAACATAAGCAATCACATTTGTTTAAAACAAGTAATTAACATGTGAATATCGCAAATTTCAATTCTCGATACCGGAATAGTTGTGCACTAGGAAGACGTGCAAGTTTACCATTTAACCAACCTAAAGACACTGAAATTACCCATGCGACCAGTGGAAAGACAAGTGGTATGCACTTTTAAGTATTCAGACAGTAATATTTTTAAATTTTACTTAAATATGATGACTTGTTTGGTCCTGATTGGTAGATAGGAAAGTCCGTGTATGATATTTTGCTTTGTAAATGTTAATCACATGACGAAGTGAACCTTCAGATCTGGAAAAAAAAGTCAGGTCAGTTTGGAGACTTTTAAGACAGAAAAATAGGGGAAAAACATCAAGAATTACTAGCTGTAGTGTTTCGACTTTTATCTCCTGAGAGCATGTAATGGATTAGCATAACCGACGGATTCTTACGTCTGTAGTGAAAAGGGTTCAATGTACAGTAAACTGTAAAATGACTCATGTTTTAACAATAAGCAAGACTCATTTAAGATACCAAAGCAGACATCATATTAAATTCATAACAAACAACGACCAAACTTGGTTAAGACTTTATTGATTCAGACTTAAGTTATAACAATTCAGTATTGTAGCATGTTAATAAATAGTTCAGATAATTATTTATTACAGTAACAAAACGAGTGAGAAAATATGATTATGTTATGCATCGTTGATCTTGTTTAAGGACGTTACCTGCAGGTTTTTTAATATACATATACGCGAATCATGGAATTTCTAAACATAATAATAGAATATGAAAAAAACATTTTAAACAAACATAGTGTGTTACCGGTCTGGTTTTTTCAGTTACTTGTCTTTGAAAAATGTCTTATTTGCTAACGTCAAGGGTAGATAATTCACAGACAGTATTCTCTTTCAACTTGTCATGTTGCAGTTTCACATTTAGGTCATTGTACAAAATGTCAAAAATTGACAACAGAGCATAGTTTTATTGATAAACCTAATATGCCGATGTGCTTATAAAGCGATATATATTTAATTATAATAAAAGAATTGTCTACCTCTTCACTTTAAGTGAAAAAATTTCATGGACTTTAATGACTTTTTGTTTTGTGACTTAGAATAATATCAAAGCAAAAATAACCAAAAGCAATAAAGGAGATTTTTCAGACAAATGTATCAGTAATCCGCCTTTCTAATTGTTGTGGAAGATAAGGAAGAAGTTTAACTTCAATTCAACTCAGTCTTATAGCAAAACGATTTGCTAAATGTTGATAGATAAAATATCCAATAAATGATGTTATCAATTTACTTTAGTTCATCTTCTCTCTACATAATAAACATAAAAGATAAAAACTATTCTACAGTAACGGTTATCCCAAATACCGTTCTGTCAAGGATTGAATAAACACGTGTGACAATTTCTTCTCCTTTTGTTAGGCAAGCAATGTTTTAATACGATAACCTCTTTTAATTTTTAGATAACAATAAAAGTTCTAACACAGTTTATATGAAAACAAAAAGTACAGAATAGAAACCGTGACTTCTGTAGGATTGCAACAGAAGTCATGTAAATAAGTCATACAAATACATACATTTTTAACAGTTAAAGAGTTTAAGCAAGGATATCCATTTTGGTTGTTGAAGTTTTCAAAGTCATGCTTTTTTCTTTAGCAATTTGTTATTGTGGCAAGTTTGGTCCCTCTTTCCGCACATTCGGTTATATATTTTCTACACTTCCCCCATAGAGGTCGAATACAAACGTTTACATGCCTTTTACAATAGCTTACGATCTCTTCCACGATGAAGCATCCCAACGCCGCCCTTTTCTGTCTTAGTCCTAAAACGGTAGAACTTTCGTTATTCTAATACATATAGATATATAATTTCTCTCTAATAGAAGAATCAAAAAGCTATCGAGGAAATGAATTTCAAACAGACATTAGAAAATGGACGTGCTTGACAACTTTTTTTCAACTGAAGAAAATACGAAAAATATTACTGACTCTGGTCTTGGTCAAAGTGCGACTTATAAGACTTATAACAAACGTATATCACTGGTTGAAGCACTACGCACTCGAAGACAATTCAACAAACGTAAACGACTACAAAAATAGAAAAAAGAAGCAGAAGTGAAAGAGGTAGGCTTGAGGACAAGTATAGTAACATGGACTTCACAACACATACTATCTGTCGGAGTCTTCAAAATGCTAATAGTGTCAGAAGAAACATTATAAAATGCAAATTTCAGAACAGCTTCTCCAGTAATGAACGACACCTTTCAAATGAATAAACAAAAACTCATTTTGGGCCTTGACGATCCAAACGTTTACACAGACAAACGATTTACACAAAAGAAAATTTACAACACTTACGAAAAAAACAACAAATTTAACAATACAATTGTACCAACAAACTTGACGAATATGTTGCACACATTCACTAATTAGTCCAGGTAAAGAAATACACATGGACATTACAACCTAGAGAAACACTGTAGTACAAAAGCATCTGACATAGGAAAAGGCTTCTTGGTGACATAAGAAACAAGAACGACCTTGTAAATTCACTAAATTTAAAATGTTTTTAGATGTAGGGCTAGAAGGAAATCTTCTCAGACGATTCAAAATAGAATTTACGATAAAGATTAAATAAGAGGGCTACCTAATGGACAACAATACAGAAGTATTAAAGCCAATATACACACAAACAAGAAGGGTTACAAAAAAACCAGATCTAAACAATTACGATGCAAAATGGAGAAAAGAAGTTGAAAAATAATAAAAACATGAAACTCCCTGCAAATTGGGAAAGTATCAAAAGGACTTCTTTGATAGTGAAAATTACATGACGTAGCGAAACTTCCAAGCGGGAAATCTGTAAAAACATCTGTAAAAACATATGTCATGCTTATTAGAGAAGAGAATAGGGATGAACTCATCAAGAGTAACTTTTGGTAAATTTTTGGATACAATTTGTCTTTTTTATCTCCTATGTGTTCGAAATGGGACTAACAGACGAATTCTTGCCTTTAAGAGATGAGAAGGGTTTAAGGTACAGTTAACTATGTAATTAACTGACTGATGTTATAATAACTAAGAAAGAATCATTTTGGAAACCATAGCGGACGTCATAATAGATTCATAATAAACAACGAACAAACTTGGTTAAGACTTTATTGATTCAGACTTGAGTTATAACAATTCAGTATTGTAGCATGTTAATAAATAGTTCAGATAATTATTTATTTCAGTAATAAAACAAATGAGAAAATATGATTATGTTATGTATCATGGAGACGTTACCTGAAGTTTTTAATACACATATATATGGGCAAAATGAAAACTAATTAATGGAATGTTTTAACATCATATTAAAATATGAAAAAAAATCTTTTAAACAAACATTATGAGTTACTGGTCTGGTTTTTCAGTTACTTGCTTTTGAAAGTGAATTTCTTGCTAACGTCATGGCAGATAATTCACAAAAAGTATTCTCTTTCATCTTTTTATGTTGCTGATTCGCATTTAAGTCATTGTACACAATTTCAAAAAATGGAAAAAGAGCACATTTTTATTCATAAACCTTATATGCAGATGTACTTATAATGCAATATATTTGAAAAGAATTGCACGTCTACCTCTTCGTTTTAAGTGAAGAGTATCAAAATTGTTTCATGGGGACTTGAATGACTTTTTGTTTTGTGACCAATGAAACTATCAAAGCAAACATAAACCAAACACAAACAATAAGATTTGTCTGACAAATGCATCAGTAACCCACCTTTGAAATTTCTGTGGGAAATAAGCAAGAAATTAACTTCTATTCAACTCAGTCTAATTAAAAACGATTTGCTAAATGTTGATAGATAAAATATCCAATAAATGATGCAATCAATTTACTTCAGTTCTTCTCCTCTCCAACAAAACACACATGAAAAAATAAAAACAATTCTACAGTCACCAAGTAGTTTTAAGTGTTGTTTCAAAAGGTTATCCATAATACCGTTCTGTCAAGGTTTGAATAAACACGTATGTCATTTTCTTCTACAGTAACTTTTATAAGGCAAGCATTGTTTAAATTTCAAATAGAAATAAAATTTCTAACACACAAAAAGCATAGAATAGAAACCGTGACTTCTGTTGGATTGCAACATTAGTCATGTAAATTAGTCATACAGATACAAACATTTTTAACAGTTAAAGATTTTAAGCAAGGATATCAACTTTTGTTGCTGAAGTTTTCACCACGATTTATTTTCCTTTTTTAGCAATTTATTGTTGTAGCAGCAACCCTTGTCCCGGTTTCCGCACATTGGGTTCTATATTCTTTACACTTATTATTCCACCAACGAGTTTTGGAACATACATTTTCATGCCTTTTACAATAGCTTACGATCGCTTCTGTGGTGTAGCATCCCAACGTCGCCCTTTTTTGCCTGAGTTCTAAAAAGGTAGAGCTTTCGTTATTATTATAAATATATTTACATATTTTCTCTTTGAAAGATTAAACAAAAATCTACCGAGGAAATGAATTTCAAACAAACACTAGAAAATGGACGTGCTTGACAACTTCTTTTCAACTGAAGAAAATACGAAAAACATAAATGACTCTGAACTTGGTCAAAGAACGACTTATAACAAACGTATATCACTGGTTGAGGCACTACACACTGGAAGACAATTCAACCAACGAAAAGGACTACACAAATAGAATAAAAAGAAGCAGAAACGAACGGGGTAGGCTTAAGTATAAGTATAGCAACAGTGACAACACAAACTATATTTCGAGTCCTCAAAATTCTAATTGCGCCACAAGTACCATTACAATATGCAAATTGTCGACCAGCTTCTCAAGATATGAACGACACTTTTCAAATGAATAAACCAAAACTCATTTAGGGCCTTGACGATCCAAACGTCTACACAGACAAACGATTTACACAAAAGAAAATAAACAACGCTTACGACAAAAACAAATAAAACAAAACAAATGTAAAAATGTAAAAACAAACAAAACAGAATTGATGAATATGTAATGTTGCACACATTCACTAATTCATCCAGGTAAAGAAATACACATGGGCATTACAACCTACAGAAACACGTGCAGTACAAAAGCATCTGACAGGGGAAAAATCTTCTGGTATGACATAAGAAACAAGAACGACTTGCCTAATTCATTAAATGTAAACGATTAAGTATTTTCGATAAAGATCAAGTGAGAAAACTACCTAATTAACAACAATACAGATGTATAAAAAAACAATATACACACAAAAAAAAAAGATTACAAACAACCCTAGATCAACTGAACAATTAAGGTAAACGATGAAAAAAAAGAAATTAGAAAAATAAGTAAAACATGAAACTACACTCCCTACAAATTGGAACAGAATCAAAAGGACTTCTTTGAAAGAGAAAATTACTTGAAGTTGGAGTAAAGGGAAACTTTAGGATACTTGAATGAATACTCTAGCAGCCAGAAACACTTGTAGAGATATGCCAGTGAAGATTCAGAGGATTAAACAGACCATGCTGACAAAATATAAAGAAGAAGATGGAAAATAAAAATAAATTAAATATATATTCTCACAATACTGTAAGGAAATGATTGATATTTGATTAATAAAATGTGTGTATGTTTATTGATAAGTGAACAATTAAAGAACATCATATGACAAATAAATGGTGTTATAAAATAAGATGACTTACGTCCAACTAAAACATTATATATTTTTATACAAAGTCATGTATCTAAATAGTAAGTAATTGTATATTAGATAAATGAAATGTCTATGTTTATGTTCTTCTCTTTAAATGTGAAAAGATTTATTCTCATTTTAGGTGTTTTTTGGCCAAAAATATTTATATTATTTCCAATTAACCAAAAACTATAAACAATTTTTACATATCTAACTATTAGGGTTATAAAAAGGGTATCTATCTTGACTTGACCCGCCTGGATTTTCCTAGTCTATGATCTCTCACGCAGAATGTGATACGTTCTTTATATATCCATAATAGTCAACTCTTAGTTATAAATCAACGTGTTCTTTCATTAACTCTTTCTATATTTATTCCTCCTCGTTTGTAAACTATATCAGCAGACATAACGTAATGACATTACTTCATCATAGTCACATCTGGTCCCGCGTCTTCACAAATATGATTTTCTTTCCATCAGTTGCTTATGTATGTATGTGATATTAGCAATACATATAGCAATATATGAAAAGAGAGAAAAAAAGGGTATTCGAATAAACATTGATATCACTTGATTTATGTTAAAAACTTTATAAAGTCTTACCGTTGCTAGGTTCTCGATCCATGTCCGTGTCAGTCTTACGACAATTTGTTGGCTCTAGGAAGACAATATCCCGATCTCCACATTCTGTAAGATCGATTGATAATTCTTCTTGCATGTCTTTTGGAGCATTTATACGTTTGAAACAAGTCGGGGAATCAGCTGACTGGAAAATACATGGAAGTGTTATTAAGAAAAATGAGTACAGTGTGGTTATCTTTTAGTTTAAGGTCAGTTTTAATTTAATTTACTTTGTCAAGTAATATCGCCGTAAAACATAGCTAAAAATCAAATGTCTTTTCATTATATCGAGTATATATTCAATATGTATTGTAAAAGATCTATTATAGTTCAATTAAATATTTTTTTTTATAAACTACAACCAAATTTTACCTCATAATTAAAAAACAGATTATGACGCAATGTCTTATAAATTCTATAATGAAATTCTTATAATTGTTAACAATATTCAGTATTACCCTGATTAGAAACCGTGAGACGAGGCAGGAATTTTCGTCTTCAGGCTTTCCAAGCTGATATCCCTAAAACAAGTGAGCGTTTATATTAGTTTTCTTATATCGTTTGTTGCCTGATTCAGGCAAAGGATTTTGAAATTAATTGCAATAAACTGTGAAAAAAGGACATATATTTGATATATTTTCAGTTATATGATTATGATGTTTAACACCAAGACAGGAATGAGAAGGGAAAAATTAAATTTTTGCAAATATATCGTATAACAATATAATATTACAAACAAATGAGCTATTTAGTATGAGTATTTTTGGGCGAATAAGTAAAGCTAAACATTTTAACCACAACTCAAAAAACCAAGTGAAGCATCAAAAAGCTGCAATTTTCTTAAAATATTATTGAGGGAGATGGAATGATGGGTCTTTTATCACTGAGAAGTATATTTATTGACACTGTGTATGATTCATCTTGTAAAAACTTGATAATATACAATTACTTACATCATTTTCAAACACGTCGATTTCCGTGACCCTCTTACCAGTGGTTCTTTCTTTAATAATCAGCACGTTTTCTTTACCCTTCTTATGCGACTCGATTCGAAAGATCTAAAATATGGAAAGTAGTGTTTTATATTGATTTAAAGATTTTGTTCCATTTAACGATATTTAGTGCTGTACAATTGCGTTCAAACAAATATATCCTGGGAAATCAGCCCATATAGTTACATATTCATTTATTATGTTGTTTTTCAAGTGGGTAAACACGTATACTGCATGTACTCACAAGAAATAATACAAGTTGATATTATTAGGCTTGAAGCAAATAATACAACGATTGGGTTTGAAAGGTGTTGGTGCACCCAATTAACCAAACACATTAAATTATAAGGTATTGCAATAAATGATTAGTTCTTAGTACTTACTCGTAGCTGCATTGTGACGTATTTACATGTTACTAATTACGGTATATATATGTGAACAGCAACAGTCGGAATTACGTTGTGCAAGAACCAACACTACACAAACTTACCTTTTCTTCCAAAGTAAATGAAATGCACAGCATGCCAGCCAGAATTAAAACACCGAAGAACTGCATGGCTATTTCGTTTGAATTCTACTGTGTTTGCGTTCCTACAATAAATGAGACATTAATTATTAAGCTGGAATAAAGAACTTTTCTGCAAAAGTCTACAATTACCTTCTCATTTCAATTATAAGTACAACCTAAAGCAACTCCGTCTTGGAGTGACAAGTTTTTGTTTATGTTGAGGTGCACTAGAAAAATTAATTTGTAATTGCATACTTACACGCAAAAGAAAATGTTAATTGAGATATGGCATACAACGTTTGTCAACTTAATACTGTAAGTTAATTCGTTACCATGAAGATCATATCCAATATTAACAAACCGATCGCAACCACAAAATCATTACGAAGGTGATAAATCTGAGATTGATTCAAAATATTACAATCTATGCCGATAAAACAAACCTTGTTATTTTCGTTTTGACTTTTGTGACGCTTAAACCTAAAGTAATTTGTCTATATATACCACCTAATAAGTCATAGCACACTGTAGGTAATTGAATGGCTTTTACGTTTGTTTCCCGCGCTCTTATGAAAGACTGAAGTTGCTGTAATAATGTTTTGGTTTTTTTACCTTGTCAAGTGAATAATATTTTTAAAGTATAATAAATTCGCCTCATGTCATATTTACACCATTTAGACAATATTCTCCCATATATCATGTCATAAATTTGTATTACTAATACTATATAAAGTCTTTCGTCAATCAAAATTCGAGAAATATAATTGCATTATTATAAATATATATAGCAGGTAATTCATTGTTCTAGAACCAAATTTTACCATTTGGAACTCTCCAAACAGTTGTTTCCTCCAAATCTTTTACGACGAAAATTCATATGATACATTTTTATTGCTTTTATCAATATTTTATTAATGAAAATGTGTGTATTGTAAATCAATTAATTTTAAAAATGATTCATGTGGCTATATTATTAACATGCACAAATAACAACAATAGTTATAAATATTATGATAATAACAACATAAATTATACCACTTATAATGATGATAATGATGATGATGATTACAGCTATATATGAATAAATAATCAGATATATCTAAAAAAAAAATAAAAAAAATAATAATAATAAAAAAGAAATAAAGAAAGAAAGAAAAAAAAAGAAAATAAATAATTAAATAAATAAACAAATCTGAATTAATAAGAAAATGAATAAATAAACTAATAGATAAATAAATAAATAAGTAAATAAATAAATAAATAAACTAATAGATAAATAAATAAATAAATAAATAAAATATGTGTTAATTGTATAATAAAGAAGACATACCTGTAAGAGATGATCCTTCGTCCTCTACTAATGCAGATTGTGGGCGCCTATTTATTAAGTTCCTATTTTTTCTTCCTGAAAGTGATTACCCAATCAAGTTCAGACACGAATTACGTCCTCTATTAAATCCTTTTGAGACAAACCTTTTTTTATTTTTTATATATTACAACAATCGTTTTGTCATGTGTCATCTGTTTCAAATTGATATTAGATAAACAGTTTTCTGGTGTAAACAATGAAAATACTGAAAACAATTTAAGGACTATTCTATGAAAATAAAAAAATAAAAATATTTTTTAAAAAATGACCTGTCAAAAGTTTCTTTTATCTGTTAAAGAAGAAATGGTTGAAACAAGGAAAATATTGACATCTGCAACATATATGCAAACAAATACATTTTCATTATTTTAAAACATGTAATATTTAAACACAAGACACATATCCTGTTTAAGAAATTGGAAGTATATTTTGTCGATAAAACCGACTTTTTTTCATTTAAAAATGCATACTGATGAACATCAATGAATCAAAATACGACTTTTATTTATCTATTCTTAAAAATAAATCATGAAAATTTGCGTTTTAAGGAGGTCCAAAAGACTAAAACTAAATAATTTGAATTTCTTAGATAGATCAGCTGGGACACTAAAACAGAATGATATGCAAAAAGTTAATTAAGAAATATATGCTGAACAGAACTGCAAATTGTACGTTTGTGCTATTTTGCCCGATTTGAGTGCGCTTTTCAATTCCGGGCAATTTTTCATAATTTGTATAATTTATTCTGGAAAAACGGAATGAGCTAATGATTTGGAATTTTGTACAAATGTTTTGGCTCTAGATTTGCATAAAATAGAATATATGTTTCTAAAATTTATTTCCATTCCCGTCATGTCCAAAAATAAGTGGAGAACCTTTAATTTTAAATCACCATTTAATAATCCAATGTTTTGCAAAAATATTGTTTGTAAATGACCCGGCATATCTACATTACAATTTATAATTGTCTGCATGCATCTAACCTAATATATTATTTAGTTTATTGAGCTACAGGGATTTCCTCTTTTCCAGATTTTTATATACAAATAAAATTGAATGCAAGGACAAAATCATTTGAGATCGCTTTCAGAAAGTAGGCACTTCATTTTCCTTAAAGTTTGGTGACATTTTTATGGTCATATAACGACTGTCCAGCATAACAGAATGCTAAAACCTTTACGTGAATATTGCCGTATATATGCCTACGAAACCTAGCCTGATAGTTCCTGGCGTGAAAGATTATAAAGACTTCAAAGTACCTAAAGGAAGCTTTATATCGTTATGGAATTTGAATTCATCCGGTCGCTTGAGACAATGAACGAATTCACGCCACAATCATCCACTTTTATGAACTAGTATTTGCCTTACAAAATACCAGTGTATCAAGAAAGTCTACATTAATAAAACATAAAATGACTCTGTTCATGAGAAATAATGTTCAAAGATTTTGTCAAGCGTTTTTCCCGTTTACATGTTACTTCTCATAGATTACAGATAGAAGCTGACAGATGGTCTAGGCCACATAGTTCCCCTTTAAATGTAAAACAAAATTGTGAAAGGTGGGTTGAAATTGATGACGAATATCATTTTGTATTTATAATTTAAAATGTGTGTTATTTACTGATATAAGGAAAATAAATATTGCTAGACGCTATTACATAATACCTAGTATGTTTAAATTGGTTGTTCTTGTAAATTCAGAACATAGGAATACTCTTGGAAACCTTAGGATATATATTTACAATGCTTGTTATATTCAAAATTCGACCCTATAATGATGCCACTTAAATGTATTCAATTGCATTGCATTGGTCATAAGTAACATAGAAACAGAGCAGAACATATTAAGTTTTATGAAAGACTTAAGCCTACAGCTCATCGTCAAAACATACAATAATACACACAAATCATAAAAATAATAAATAAATAAACATTACAACAAATATTTGTCTAAATTCAACAGTTGAGAGTGATCTGTGTAAGCTTTAATAGGAATATTATAAAATTATTATAATAATAACAAAAAGGATTTATAAGTTGTTTAATCGGTCAGTTCATTTCTAAAGCATTAAATACAATAATTGCAAGATTATGTAGAGTCTTTTTACATTTTGAATTTAGCAGATCTATAAATTTAAATATACTTGGACGTGTAGGAATATATTTTCCCCTGTTTTCATGATAAAAGGGCAAACTTAGACAAAGTGGAATTCGTCCTCGATATCATTTGAATTGCAAATTACACAAGAACGTCGATAACTTTCAATATTGTTATATCGACCAGTTTCAATATTGAGGTTATGTGAATTTAGTCTTAATCTGGCAAAAGCATTTCTGTATCTAGGAATATCAGCAATAGTGAGGTACTCAGAACCATTAAAAATAGCTTTAATATGTCTATACAAAAATAACAAATTACATGTCTAAACACTAGCATTCCAATTAATTAGTCATATAAATATTTCTAAGGCGATTAATAAACACTGGTATAAATACATCTATATTAACTGACTCTGGAAATCCCCAGACATCACAAAATCCAGCATTTTGTAGTAAAACACATTATTTCGATGACCAATTAACATTAGCAGTATTAGCAGTATTATGCAAAATGTCTAACAATAGTTCTGATTATACAGTTTTTCATTTTTTGACCATACAATTTTAAAAAAAGTATTCGAACATATCTATTGATGTACAATGGGTTTCTGCCCAGTTCTGCATACATTGATATTGTATTTGTTGTTCGTTTTACATTAAGCACCTCGCTCTTAATTCTCGGCCTTTAAAAAGCCCCAGACTTCGCAGCCTCAATTCACTACTGACAATACATAAGCATCAAACAAATTAAACATTATATTTACAGGTACAGTCATACCACGTGTTATATAAAAAAGTGCATTCATTGCCTTTATTCCTTTCCAAGCCAAAGTTTTCGTTGCATTGTTAAACGAACCCCCACTAAAAAACAACCCCTAAATAATTGAATGAACTAACAATTTCTATTTCTTTTCCAGCAAATGTCCTTTTAAAAGAGCCACTTATTCTACGACCTTTTCTAAAACTAACAATTTTAGTTTTTTTTATATTGACATTAAGATTCCAATTTTTACAATAAGTTTCTAAATTATTAAGTGAGTCTTGTAATCCTTCTTTTGTTTTAGAAAACAATACAGCATCGTCTGCAAACAGTAATAAATAATTAGACAATTGCTCCAGGATCATATCTGCACTGCCTCTTTGCTGAAGATGCATTTCTATATCATTCAAAAACATGGAAAATAGTATCGGGGAAGTTATCTCCCCTTGCAAAAGTCCTAAGTTACATTCGGAAAAATCTGATAGAAAAGTCATCTGACTTACACATAACTTGACAATGTCATACATTAATCGTAAAATAACAATTTGTCATCAATGCATTAGTAAATAAGCTTATACCATAAAAAGCTTCTATCAATCAGGTTGTATGCCTTTTTATAATCTACAAAACAACACATTAAAAAGGATTTTTTTCATCTGCTTTTCAATAAGTGAATTCAGTATAAAAAAAGTTTGCTAAAATGAGACCTCAATTCAAATTGCACATCCGTTAGAATATCATAATCTAGGGCCCATTTCTTTAATCTATCATTCAAAACAGCAGTAAACAGCTTCGTAAAACAACTGATAAGGGTAATACCGCTGTTATCATTTGGTTCAATTGAGTCACCTTTCTTATATAGTGGTGTTATAGCCCCTTTTGACCAACTAGTAGGAAATTTACCCTGCTCTAAGATATAATTAAATAACAACTGAATAGGACGTACTAATACATCAATACTAACTTTAAAATACTCATATAGTATATTGTTTATAGAATAGGCTTTATTAAAAGACAATGCTTTGGTAGCAGATGTAATTTCAGATATTTTAATTGGTGAATCAAGCACTTGTAATGTACTGGAGTCACTTCTGTCTAAAAAAATGTGCCAAAAATCAACACATTGTGCGTTTGAATTAACATCTGAGACACTTGCTAAATGTTCAAAATGAGTATAAAAATCCTCAATTCAAGAAGGACTATTACTTTTCTTCTTAAACAATTTCCAAAATGTACGTGGGCTTTGACGCCTCATATTGTTTATTTTATTACTTAAGTTTCTATTAAACTCATTTTTTGTTTTTCTACAGCAATATTTATAATCTTTTTTTGAACTTGAACACTAATTTTCTCATTTCGTTACATTTGTTCATATCATTATTAAAAACAGTTCTTTTATATAATTGAAATTTACGCCTGCATTCCTCATTATACGACGTTTGCCTAAAACCATCAACAGATGTAAAGCCTAATGAACCGTTCTTTTGTTTGTTTGTTTGTTTTTTGTTTTTTTTTTTCAAAATATTTACAACCTTTGCTATTTAAAAAGTCAGTAAATAATGAAACAACATCCTCTACATCACAACTATTATTGATTTGTTCCACTTAATACCTGCTCCAAACTGTCCGCATCATTTTTATATCATTCACGAATGAGTCTTGATGCTCCGGGCACCATTTATAAAATGTTCGTGTGGTGTTGGTAGGTTTGTTGGGAACAGTACATGGTTTTAAATAAAAAAGACACTGGTGCATGATCCGAATACTCGTTAAGTTTTTCATTGGCAAAGTATGAAACTTTATTGAAGTTCGGTGATGTTGCTTATAGATAGTCAACGACACTTTCCCGATTATTGGTCATGCACGTAAAATATCCGTGTAATGCATCATCGTGCAAACTACCATTTACTACGCGCATATTTGTAACAATACTTATGTCTACATTATCTAAATAGTCCCCAAAACGATTTGATGTTTAATCACGTGTTGCTCGTGGTAACAGTGTATTGATGTCCTGGTTATCATTAAGAATGCTATAGTCATTTTCAATATAGTCTAATTTTCGGCCTATTCTTGAATTAAGATCCCCTACCACAAATACAACTCCCCTGTTTTGGAAATAGTTGATATCAGTTTCTAATTGTTGAAATAAGTCTA